TGGGGTTGGGGGGCGGGGGGATTAAGACTCCACAGAACAGATATACATGGGATATGAATATTAAATAAATCACTGACATTGTACATGTGTTAACTTGTTGTCCCAAAAGTTCCACAGGTTAGAGTTTTTACGCTATATAAAACCACGGAATTAGGTCTAAGTAGAGTCAAGTCGCTGACCCAGGCTTTCCTCTTGTTGGAAAGTTGTCTTATGAAGTTCCGTCTACACGTCAGTAGCGAACTGGTCATACACACAGTTTCACTAAAGTACACAAAACAATTGATTTCTTCTCTGCACATTAATTTTCGTGAGAAAATAGCCCGTAACTATGATGAGATTAATTATTAATAACTTATTTGTGCTTGATGATTATTGGATGATTTATTACTATTGTTGGTGATTTGTTGTTATTATTATTATTATTATTATTATTATTATTATTATTATTCATTGATTGAAAAATCACATTATTCTTTATATAAATATATATTCAGACAGATAAAGTTTCTGAGCCCGACACACCATCATTTACTGAAATTACAATTCCGGTCCGGACGCGAGAGCATATTTCGTAATTTGTTATGACCCCATTCACTGCAGGACTGTTTTGTTGACATTATGGCGGAGGGGCAAGCAGGCCTCGACGCGTTCGACTCGGTAGATATCATCGCCTTCAAAAATGCCTTGACAGATCTTCGTTCTGCACACGAGACCATGGACGACAATTTTAGTCGTCCCGGGGCACAGCTCGCAGACAAGCAGACATTTACCAACAAGACAGGAGAACTGATCACAGCGTATCCAGTGTTGGTGGATCTGAGGAGGTTGGTCCAGTTGTGCCCCAGCAACACAGCTGCTGCTCTGACAGGCGACGATGGCATCATCCCTGGGGTAAGACCCCTTTTAGGAGCGATTGTAATGTAGTAAAATTAGCCCTTAGACACGTCATCCACTTTACTTGATATGTATAATGTAGCGTACCTTTATAACATTGTGCATTGTGTAATAGAATGAAGCTACTGTAGTACTGGAATACTTGAGTTAGGTGAACATCGAACCCGCGATCACAAGTTTTCTAGTCGGATGCATTACTGCTGAGCTGAACGAAAGTTCCCTGTCACTGAAGCTAGTAAAACTTTTACACTATAAACAATGCACATACTTAATTTATCCTACGTGTTAACTCACCCTATTTTCAAAGTCTTTGCCCTTGAAGACAAGAACAATGTACACATGTAAAAGATGGGCATTGATTAGGTTGCCTTACAAGTATCAGCTGTAATTCCCTTTATCTCAATAGTAGAGCGTCCGACTAGGAACTTAAGGATCGCAGGTTTGATGCCTGGTGGAAGCACACTTATCTCTTTTCTGTTACATATGGTTTACGTAGTTGATAATGACATGACCTGAAGCCAATTTCCAGTGTGGTCAGTTTCATCTTTGGGAAAGCTGGTGATTCAAATAGCTACGACCGAAATATCCAGGCCTTTCAGTGAGAAGTTAACATGTACAGTACTATGCTGTCGACCGACAACACAGTGTCATTTATGAGTCTGAGTTCACACATAACACATTCCTGAATTTACATGCATTGATTAGGTTGCCTTACAAGCATCAGCTGTAGGGAATATCGCTTTAGCTCAGTAGTAGAGAGTCTGAATAGAGATCGCAGGTTTGATGCCCGGTGGAAGCACGCTACCCCTAATCTCTTTCCTGTTACAAATGGTGTCTGTGGCCCTCCCTAGTGAGTGTGGTGTCGCTTAATTGCTTAGAGTGTCAATTTAGAGTTTAGAGGTTCTCGGTTCAAATCATGATCTTGCCTTGCATTTTCCTCTCCTGTCACAATGGTGCCTATGACCATCCCTTGTTAATATAAGGATATACCCAAACCTAGGTTGTGAATTTATAATATTTTTTTGGGGCGAAGACTTAGAAAACGATGGAGTAATATAGCGGATTGGATTGGATCGGTCACTAGCCACCAAATAGCTCAATTTTGTTAGAGCTTCCACTTAAGATTTGAAAGGTCCAAGGTTCGAATCCAAGTCTGGTGGTGAATTTTTCCTATCCTGGTACTGAAGAAAGTATAAAAAAAGAAGTGAAAAGAATATGTGCATTCGATGGAGATTAAAACCAGTGACACCTTGAGACTTTCTAGTTGGGTCACACTCTAACAGTACCACTGAGCAAATGTGAAATTAATAACTTTTTTTTGCAAAACCAGAAGGTGATCGTGATCATATAAACAAGTAAAATCTACCTGTTATATTGTTGGGTAGGTAAATATTAATGGGGCTATTTAGTCAAATGACAACCTGAAAATCAAGTCGATACTGAAAATTAATATCTTCTAACGAAAGTTTACATAGTTGATAATGACATGACCTGAAGCCAACGTCCATTGTGGTCAGTTTCATCTTTGGGAAAGCTAGTGATAAAAAAAGCTACGACCGGAAAAGCGCAATATCCGGGCCTTTCAGTGAGAAGTAAACATGTACAGCACTTCCTTGTCGACCGACAACACAGTGTCATTTATGAGTCTGAGTTCACACACAACACATTCTTGAATTTACATTATACAGCGCATGTAAGAATAATAAGTATCATGAAATATACCTCTAATAACATAAAACTGTTCACATTTGGATTTGAATAAAAACGAACAGGTTCGGTTAGAGCATGTACGCACTGAGAGGGTGCCGCAGTGAGAATTTCAAACTGCATAAAGCACAATATCAATAGGTTTAAACGTAAAATAGATAACTCATTTATAACGATGTTTGAGAAGCTGTTGGAAGATGATTTTGATTCAGAATAAATGCATGTACTTGTATTCTAGAGAGGCTAGGTGAATAAAGCAAGGACTTTTACTTTCTCTCCTCGGCTGGAAAGACATTTTTGTTAGCTAGACGTACGGCTGTACAGTTAAGTATTTCTCCATTACTGATTAAATACGCCAAGAAAGCATTGCTTCTTGTCAATTTCTCGACATGAATTGTTAGTATGGAATATCAAGCTATATTATCATGAAGAATTTTATGACAAGGTTTGCTATGGGGCCAGACTGGAATTGTGCATTACTCAAATTACTTGTTTTATTTTAGAGACTACTATGTAAGGGAAAATGAAACAAGTCAGACCAGGATTCGAACCATGGACCAAGTCCGGACTTTAGAATAGGAAGTCCTCACCAATTGGTCACCAGTAGTCACCCTACCCAGTCCCTCTTCACACCTCAATCTCTTTTCTAAATCTTTATCCGTAAAGACAAAACTATTTACAACTAAAGTTTGGTATCCCCGGCCAAACACCAGCACTACATGAAACAAGGGTCTGTCACATGCGCCACTGTCATAGGACAGGAAAAGTGTGGCAGGACCTGACCAGGATTTGAAACGGGACCTCTAAACTCAAGAACGAAGCACTGAGTAATTGAGCTACATATGTGTTTGGTCACTGGTAGTCATCGGGCCTAGGCCTGTTACATATATATACAATGACTAACAGCAAGACTTCAACAGATAATCACTCTTCAACTAAGATACCTGGTCAATGGTAATTTACAAAGCAGCTATACAATACTTCTTCAAGGTCTGTGACCCTTAATACAAGTACAATTGCAACATTAGTTTGATGAGTATATTAAGTTCTGCACCAAAATAACAAAAGTGTAAAAGTTCAGGAGGCACAGTAGTCCAGTGGTAGGATGCCAGGCTCGTGACCGAAGGGTTGCGGGTTCGCGCCACTGCACGGCAATGTGTTGTATCCTTGAGCAAGATACTTTACTCCGCTTGTTCCATTCTACACAGCTGTAAATGAGTAAGTGGTTGGGCAGTGCTAGAATTGTTGAATGCTAGCTGTAAGCGTCGAAATGGCAGCTCTGGCTGTATGCTCCCAAGGGAGTTGAGAAATGTATTGGCTAGTTGCAAAGGCCCTATAACCACGGATGATAATTTGTGAACCGCTTTGAGACGACCTACTAACTAGGGTGTGATAAAGTGGTATATAAGAACCTCAAATTATTATAATTATTATTATTATAACAATACCAGAATTCACATCCACCAAACTCCAGATAGATCTGATCAGCTATGCCTGTGTGATTTTAATCTCTCATACCAATTTTAGGTGGTGCACCGAGTCCAATGTATCTGTGAGGTAGAGGACTATATGATGAAGGAGTGTAGCTTAACTGGACAGGGTCTTCATGATACTGACTTGTCCATAACAGATCTAAAATGGTGCATGTAATATGTTTTATCTTGGTTAATCAGATCTCTAACACTGACCTGCTACACGCTGTCGTCGGATTGTATGATGTATCGCTGTCTGAGATGACCCCAGATGTCCTGTATGCCACAGTGTGTGAGAAATGGGCCAGAACCATTGTTCTAGTCAGGGATCTCAAAGGTAAGTTGTAAAATGGCTCATTGTATTCAAATGTAGTATTATATTTTTTTCCAGTTCTCTTGAAATTAATACCAAAATAAAATAATTACATTCATGCAGCAAGCAATATTTTGCAACTCCTTACATTGTTACGTTTAATAACAAAAAACAGGCAAAAATATTACAGGTGTGAAATGAAAAGATATTGCTCAATTTTTTTATAGAAACTGTGAGATCATTGGAAGAAAAGAAAATTCAAAAGACGTCTGACAAGGATGACGACAATGAAACAGAATCCAAGGAGACTAAGACAAAGGAGGAAAAGGAGGATGGAGAGAATGACGACATATATGAGGAAGAGGAACAACTCACTAGCAAGTTCGCTGACGTCTACAGCGACACTGAGTCAGAGGAGGAAGACCTCGAGGATGACGAGTAAGTACGAAGGGATTAAGGTCAAAGTGTACAGGGGTAAAGGTCAAAATCTACAGCCAAAATGTTGTGTCGATATTAGTATACATGTAAGATCCTTCATTGAAAGATTTGGCTGCTTTAGGTTAAAGTGTCATAATTTGAATCAAAACCAGCTACACCCAAAAGATGCCATTTGATGCCATTTGCATTGAAAACTGCATATGCTAAGGCCAGACAAAAAGGTATGTGTGTTTCCTGTAACATGTTGGACAAATTTAGGGTAGGTAGGTAGGTATAAGATTTTAATTTAATAAATAATTTCATATGGTGTATATAGGAGAATGATCTTGACACTGAACAGTGCTTCTTTGAAAATTGCCTTAAAAAGTTTAGGGTAGGCACAACAAATTAGGGTGGGTAGGGTTACCGGAAACACCAAGTCTTTTTTGTTTGGCCTAAAGAGAAGGATACTCAGGTTCTAGTTGGAATCCTGGCTGTTTTACATCAATCTAGGAGTGTACTTAATTGTTTGTTGTAAATGGGTCTTGGACTTTCAGTTCAAGGTAAAAAAAAAGGTAGATATGAATGAAGACATTCTATACAATCATTGTACATGTCTGGAATCTGTTTCAGTGATGAAGAAGACTTTTCCAAAGGAATAAACACATTCATTAAGAAGACAGTGGAAAGGAGAAAGAAGAGACAGTGTAAGCCGCGTGAAATAAAAGAGGAACAGGTCGGGATAGAGAACCGCATCATAGGCTGTGTCACATTTGAAAAGAAATATGTGTAAGTGTATATATATACATTTTCATAAATGATGATTCATTCTTAGTTCTAAAGTTGTTATTTTTAACAGAATACAGTATTTTCAAACAATAAATATTCTGCGTCAATTCAAATAAAATCATATGTGAAATCAAGTCATATGTAAGCATGCACATTCTATCTACAGGTAAGATTTCAAAATCAATGAGTTGGTGATTACCATATCGGTAGAAATTATTAATTTTAAATTTTAAATAACAGAAATTATTGTAGGTATATATACATGTTCAGATAACAGATAATTGTTGCAAAATGAAGGTAATCTGAAAACCCCTGATGAATATTTTCTTTGTTAATTACATGTGATTAGTGATGTACTAATTAGGTGTATGGTATTGGTAAGCACTGTTAATGATGAAGCTGTATCCCAGTCTATATATATATATAGTTTGTATATGATATTTCCAGGCGACAAAAAGATAGAGTTGTCCACCTGACTCTACTGTCCGTCAGACGGAGACACAGGAAGTTTGGAATCGGCAAATACCTATTACAGGTTCGCATGCAATTACTACAATATTTATTCTCAATCCAAAGTTAACAATTGATTTTTATGAAATCAATTTTTACACATAACAATATGTTTGATTTTTGTTTTCTTTTTAACTACCAATTAAACCTATTGCTACCTTTGTCTTGTAATTTACTTAAATGTAATCAAGTACAATCAGTTAAACGTTCTTTTAGGTTTCTGTTCAGTGACTTTATGAAAATATTACAACTATTATTTTTTGTTAGATATTGTGAGATGTGACAAGACTATTTCTCTGTATGTAACATGGGATGAGGTTACGTCAGTATCCTTGTGTATGTACAGAGGTTCTACATTCTCATATTTTGATTTAAGACAAGCCCGCAGACTGACTGTGACAAATTCTTCTAGTCCGACCTATATTTTTATAGAAAATATCAAAATAATTTCGCCAGTACTGACTTAAAATCTAGCAGCACCAGGTCTCGGCTAGTTGAATTGTACACTGCTGATGTAAAGCTGATGAATCTTTGTGTCCTCCCATGCATCTTAAAATATAGAAAAAAAATGGTCACGAGATTCTTTCTATTTGCAGCAAGTGATAGACCCTGCTGTGGTTGGCCATTTCGATGCTATAGTGGTTCATGCTGACAACGCGGCTGTTGAGTTCTTCCAACACTTTGGTTTCTCAGATGATGTCGTTCTCAACAGCAGATGGAGGTCAGTATACATTTCACCACATTTTGTCGTTAGATATTACCGTAACAACGTTTTCTATAGACCATAAATCAGAATGTCTTGTAGTATAGTTTATTTTCAGATTATTGACTGTTGATTCATTCTATAAATGATAAATGATAATGTATTTAGATATATACATGTAATATGATAAAAATGTAAATATGGGGATGTGACTCGAGATTTTGCTTGAAAATGTTTATTTTTTAACTTCACAGCTCATATAAGTTATACACCCCTGCAGACACAGTTGAACTCTTCCAATTCAAAGGTTGGAATAGTTCATCATGAAATTTCAGGTGTGAATGAGTTAACAGGCTTGACTGTTGTACATTATATTATGTAAAACAGAAAACAGTAGGACCTGATAAATGATTATGTTCAATAAGACATGCCTTATCAGTAACAGAGTTTCCAATTTGTCCCCAGTGAGCTTGCGGAACAGTTTACCAACTGTACTTTGATGTGTTACCTGCCAGGGTTCTCAGGTAAGATGAACTCCATAACTGTACTGTAAATAAAGGTTCACTCTAATTCAACTGCCACTGACGTATATTTACTGGGTTTTTGCATCCACGGTACTCAAGAGCTTTTGCTAATTTTCGCTCTCTGCACCCCTGGAATAATATATGTCATAGCAAAATTGAAGGCACACTGCTAGATATTTGATTGGTCTCAGGTGAAAAGGATCAAACTTGTCTTCTGTCTCATCCACAAGGTGACACCCACTGAGCCTTCAATTTTGAATATGACATATTCCAAGGGTGCAGGGAGCGAAAGTGACCATAACCCCTGGAGTACCAAGGATGGTGTTTTGGCATCTTAAGTCTGAATCGCTGTGTATGTCCACTCAATTAACAAGTGCTCTCTGTAATATCACATAAAAAATGTGGTGTTGTTTTTACTGTGTATATTGCTCTTTGTATATGCATGTTAAAATAGCTGTAACTCGTCATCCATTCAAACTGAATTCAAGTTTACTTTCTTGAAAGTTAAACAAAACAATAATGGACAATATCACATCGCTGACTAGATAAAAGAAATTTTGTGAATAAAAAGGACCTCAACTTATAATCAAGGTCACATATGTGAATAACTTCAAAGAACTTTTTTCTGAAGAACCAAATGGCTTAGAGTCATGATATAAGGCTAGATTGGGAATAAATATGACCTGGACTTACCTTCAAGATCATGTGAATTCAAACACAATTTAAACAGTTTGAATATAGACAAGATGAACACTGGCAAAACCAAGCACATAAATACAGTTTTAAATAAAGAATTGAAATCTAAACGTCGCAACCTTTGAAATATGTTTTTATTTAATTGGTTGGGGTTTTCAGAACTGAATGTCAAAGGATTGTAAAATCCTAATTTTGTCAGAATAAATCTATGTATGTATGTATCTATCAATGTATAAGATCACGGGCCTAGGGTGATGATATTTCATCATCATCATTATGCTGGGATGTAAGGGTTGTTAAGTTTGTTCAAATGAATGACCTTCACCCATATATACGGATCAAATATGTTGAAAACCTTTGAACAACTTCTTCTGAATATGGCCATTAGCATGCTCAGATAAAGAGCTATCAAGTGTGTTGAAGTAATCATGAATGAAATAAATATTACAGTAGCAGTCACTGTTGATTAAAGTTTTCAGGCTGAGCCCTTCATTAGGGATTGAATTGTCCTCACCCTTATGTCACATCCATATTTAAATTTTAAGCAAGTTTTAAAAGTGCTGAATTTCGAGTACAGTATTTAAAGTCATGGATGACTTTGACCCTCATGGGTCAAATGTGTTACAATACCAACAGTCGCAGATGGATGGTATTTTGCCTCTTGTGTTTGTAGGCATGAAGAAATTGGACATGTATATTGTTCGACAAAATAAAGATTTTACAATCTTTTGTAAGGCTGATCTGGAAAAAAACCACCACACAAACATTTATAGTTGGATTTTTTTAATTAAAATCTTGGCTTTGTTTGTTTAGTGTTCTTATAATTCTTCCATAGTAGGGGTTTGTTTGTTTGTTTGTTTGATTTTGTTTAACGTCCTATTAACAGCTAAGGTCATTTAAGGACGGCCTCCCCTGTGTGCAAGATGCATGCGTGTAGTGTATGTGTGTGTATTTTGGGAGGCTGCGATATGTTCGTGTTTGTCTCCTTGTGATAGCGCGGAACTGATGCCGACTTTATAGTGCTACCTCACTGAAACATACTGCCGAAGACACCCAGCAGGACGCCCCACCCGGTCACATTATACTGACAACGGGCGAACCAGTCGTCCCACTCCTAATTTGCTGAGCGTTAAGCAGGAGTAGAAACTGCCATTTTTAAAGACTTTGGTATGTCTCGGCCAGGGGACAGAACCCAAAGCCTTCCTCACAGGGGCGAACGCTCAACAAATGGCCAAAAGTGAGGCATTGTCAAGGGAGACATTAGGAAAAAGAAAGTTATTTAGAAAGGAGATAAGAGATAAGGTCCCAAATTTAGTCGCCTCTTACGATCATGCAATTGGGGGCAGCAGGTACAATTCTTACGCCCTACCTGCAGGGCATAGTAGGGGTGACAGGAAGCACTCTAGTCAGTTTAAAGACTAGAATGTAGCTTTAGTTCATATTTTGTTACCTGCATTTGCAGGTGGAAAAATTCACGTTAAAATAACTATTACCAGGTGAGCGAAAAGGCCCGTAATGGGAATAGCCATGGCGCAACGTCCGTCGTCTATGAGTTCTCATACTTCGAACTTTCAATATATAGAGGAAAAGTAGATATCAAACTCACTTGTCTTAAATTATGTTTTAATATATTTTTTGTTTTTATTGTTATTTCACATTTTTATTAAGAAAAGTTGTTCAGCATTATAAGGTTTTATATTGTAAAATTGTTTTTAATTGTTTAAAATTATTTTGAAATAAGAATTTTATTAAATATTGTGAATATTGAGAACAGGGGAAATAACTCTTATTAATTTTACAAATTGTAATAAACACGTTTGTTTTTTCATAGGAGCCTGAAGTTCTGTCAATAATGAATAATAATAGTAATACAAAAAAAAACACCTAATATAATCTATTTTTTAAGCATTTTAGGGGGATTTTTTTGTTTTACTATTATTATTCATTATTGACAGAACTTCAGGCTCCTATGGTTTTTTCCAGACATTTTCTTCTGGTATTCATATTGTATGCAACAGTATGTATGTTGCCAATCATAACATGATGCACACAACGTTTTAAGCCTTTTTTTGGAAAACTATGTCTTTGTGATGTCAAAAAATTACTTTGTTTCATATTTTATGTACATTGCCCCTCAGTGCATTTCCGCTAAGTAGACTCTTGAGTACACAGCTGTCTTTGATAGCACAACTGAACTCTGAAATTCGACATTTCAATGACTAGTACGTTACATCAGAGACGTAACATCACTCTTTCAGATGTTGACTAATCAACCAACTTGATAGGAGGCTGTTCCATTAAAAGTGGAGATCAGCTTTACTTTTTTCCTCCCATTGCAGTACAGTTTAACATCTTTCGAAAGATACCTACATGCACCGTAAAAGAATATATATAATAATCAACATTTGTAAGGATCAAGGGCATAATAGGGTCTTATTCTTTTCATGTTTGTTGCCTGCATTTGCAGGCAGAAAAATTCACGTTAAAATAACTATTACCAGGTGAGCGAAAAGGCCCGTAATGGGAATAGCCATGGCGCAACGTCCGTCGTCTATGAGCTCTCATACTTAGAATTTTTACCATATACTCGGAAGAAGATATCAAACTCACTTGTCTTAAAATATGTTTTAATATATTTTTTGTTTTTGGTGTTATTTCACATTTTTATTGAAAACAGTTGTTCAACATTATAAGATTTTATATTGTAAAATTGTTTTTAATCGTTTAAAAGTATTTTGAAATAAGAATTTCACTAAATAATGTGAATATCGAGAACAGGGGAAATAACTCTTATTAATTTCACAAATAGTCATAAACACGGTTGTTTTTTCCGGCCATTTTCTTCTGGTATTCATATTGTATGCAACAGAATGTATGTTGCCAATCATAACATGATGCACACAACGTTTTAAGCCTTTTTTCACAACTATGTCTTTGTGATGTCAAAAAATTACTTTGTTTCATCACGGACTTAGATAACACCATCTAATCTAATTCCGTGGTTTCATGTTTATGTACATTACCCCTCAGTGATTTCCGCTAAGTGGACACTTGATTGGTCAATTAAATATATTTCATGTAGTGTCGACGTCGATGTGAGCTGGTCCAGCTTTTTGAGACGCATCTTGATACTGTTCTATAGTTGTGTCCGGTTGTGAGTAACATGTAGGTACACATTTTTGGTAGTGATGACGCCAGTGATTGTACAACTATTCAGGGAGGGGCCTCTAACAACTATCATTTGGGAGAGAGTTCCACACGCCCACGGCCATTGTATATTAGCACACAGACGTCTCTGATAGCATAACTGTAATTCGACGTTTCAATGACTAGTACGTTACATCGCTCATTTAAGATACTGTCTATATATATAAAATAAACCATCTTTCCGTTGCAGTACAATATTTATCTACATATCCCATAAAAGAAGATATAGTTATAAGAATCAAGGACATAGTTCTGTTTTATTTTTCATGTTTGTTGCCTGCATTTGCAGGCAGAAAAATTCACGTTAAAATAACTATTACCAGGTGAGCGAAAAGGCCCGTAATGGGAATAGCCATGGCGCAACGTCCGTCGTCTATGATTAACCAAGCTTGAAGCTTTTCCTATATTCCCGGAAATAAGATTCATACTCACTTTGCTTGAAATTGTTTTTTTCATATATTGTTTGTTTTATGTTTTTTTCATGCGGTTTTAATAACATTGTTTTGAATACTTTAAAGTATCAATTGTTAAATTGTTTTAAATTGTTTATAATCCCCCAAAGAAGAAAAAAAAACAATAATATGAAGATATCAAGAACAAGGGAAATAACTCTTTTCAGTTTTATAGAGAGTAAAACTAGCTCTTATTTAGATTTAAATAGCAAATTGTTTCAGAAAAAAATATATCATGAAAATGGATAATCACATGTTATCAGCAAATAGAATTATTTGTATGCACCTATAATTTTGATTGTTTATTTTTCCTTTCAGGACATAGTCTTCTGAGTACAGTTAAAGTGCCAGGGTTTGAAGTTTTTGAGTTAGAACAGGAATTCAATAAATGGTGAGTTTTTATATGTCCCACATTAAGTAAGGGGGGATAACTCTTACATCACTATATCAAACTTAGATCTTTGACATCAAAATGAGATATTTATAATTGAGCCATGTCAAGTTGTGAAATTTTGTATAAAAAAGTTCAATTCATTTGATAAAAAACTGTTATGATATTCATGTGAATACAGATTCCTGGCCAAAAATGGGAACTTAAATGCAGAGTCTTGATTAAAAAGAAATTATTTTAATAATTATATTCTACAAAACTTAAGTTCCGTGACAATCTTTTTTCTGCTAATATATGACTGATGAACCCTTAAAGGGACTCTCAATTTCTTATGAGAGAATAGTTCTTGAATTGGCAATATTATTGCTTTAGCTGTTTTGTGCTATCACAGCTTAGTAAGTCAGAGACATATCAATTACAAAAGTATAGCATAGTTATAGATCAATATAATTATTACAGGAAAGAAAAAACTGTGGAGGTTTATCAGAATCAAGTTTCTGTTGTAATGAGGATGAAACATGAAATCCTACAGCTCAAAGCATTGGTAAGTATATTGTATTATTTGAAGCAAAGCAAAGCAATAACCTTATACATTGTATATATATAAATCTAGTAAATTGTTGTTGACTGAAATTTCCAAATGAATTTGATATTCGGAAAATGGTGCATGAGAATTAATATGGGTATTTGATTTTTTTTCTCTTAAAAAAACATACAAAAAAACCTGTTAAAATTAATTATGCTGTTGATTTAATTAATTATTGGAAAATTTCCAGACCCACAAGCAGAACACTTTGATTGAAACACTGCTAAAGGACAATGAAAAACTCAGGAAAGAGAAATATGCAGTTGGTAAGTGTATATTTTTAAATTATACATACATTTGTATATTGGTAAAATATCTATTTGTATATTGGTACATTATAGATGGTAAGAGTAGGGATTTACTATGTATTTATACACAAGTGAATACTTCATTGCAGTTTCTTAATTATAGTACTTTTACATTCCACCTGGCCCTATGTCCCTTAATTCCTTCAGCTGGTACACCAGTACATTTCCCTTCAGCTGGTACACCAGTACATTTCCCTCCATCTGGTACACCAGTATAGTTCCTTCCCTCCAGCTACTACACCAGTACAGTTTCCTCCCTCTAGCTGGCACACCAGTACAGTTCCCTCCCTCCAGCTACTACACCAGTACAGTTTCCTCCCTCTAGCTGGTACACCAGTACAGTTTCCTCCCTCCAGCTACTACACCAGTACAGTTCCCTCCCTCTAGCTGGCACACCAGTACAGTTCCCTCCCTCCCTCCAGCTACTACACCAGTACAGTTCCCTCCCTCCAGCTACTACACCAGTACAGTTCCCTCCCTCTAGCTGGTACACCAGTACAGTTCCCTCCCTCCAGCTAGTACACCAGTGCAGTTTCCTCCCTCTAGCTGGTACACCAGTACAGTTCACTCCCTCCAGCTATTACACCAGTACAGTTCCCTCCCTCTAGCTGGCACACCAGTACAGTTCCCTCCCTCCAACTACTACACCAGTACAGTTCACTCCCTCCAGCTACTACACCAGTACAGTTCCCTTCCTCCAACTAGTATACCATTACAGTTCCCTCCCTCCAGCTGGTACACAAGTACAGCTCCCTCCAGCTGGTACACCAGTATAATTCCCTCCCTCCAGCTGGTACACAAGTACAGCTCCCTCCAGCTGGTACACCAGTATAATTCCCTCCCTCCAGCTGGTACACCAGTACAGTTCGTTCCAGCTGGTACACCAGTACAGTTCCCTCCCTCCAGCTGGTACACCAGTACAGTTCGCTCCAGCTAGTACACCAGTATGGTTCCCTCTATCCAGCTGGTACACTGTACACTGGTACACAAGTACAGCTCCCTTCAGCTAGTACACCAGTACAGCTCCCTTCAGCTGGTACACCAATACAGCTCCCTTCAGTTGGTACATCAGTACAGTTCTCTCTAGCTGGTACACCAGTACATGTACAGTTCCCTCCAGCTGGTATGCCAGTACAGTTCCCTCCAGCTGGTACACAAGTACAGCTCCCTCCAGCTGGTACACCAGTACAGTTCCCTTCAGCTGGTACACCAGTACAATTCCCTAGTACACCAGTATATTTCCCTAGTACACCAGTACAGTTTCCTCGTACACCAGTATATTTCCCTAGTACACCAGTACAGTTCCCTAGTACACCAGTACAGTTCCCTGGTACACCAGTACAGTTACCTGGTACACCAGTACATTTCACAAGCATGGTTCCCTCCCTCCAGCAGGTATACCAATACAGCTCCCTCCCTCCAGCTGGTACACAAATTCAGTTCCCGTCCTCCAGCTGGTACACAAATACAGTTTCTTACAGCTGGTATATAAGAACAGTTCCCTCCCTCTAGATTGTACACAGTTAAGTTCCTTCCCTTTAGCTGGTACCTTAGTACAGCTTCCTTCCTCTAGCTGATATACCAGTACATCTTCTTCCAGCTGAAACGCAAGAACAGGTTCTTCCAGCTGGTATACACGTATTGTTCTCTCCCTCTAGCTTGTGCGATAGGACAGCTTCATCCCTTTATCTTTCACACAGGAACGACCATTAGCTATATATGTCAGTATCTCCCTCTGATAAACATTGAATAAGACAGTTGTACCTGTATAGGCATTGGCTGGGAATGAACAAATTCTGATTAGTTAAAAAGACATCATGGGTTTTGGTGAAAACACTTGATGTCAAATTGGGAACACTTTATGTTTGAGTGATAACACATGATGGCTGCATGGTAACAATGTTTTTGGTGAGGACACATGGTGTCAAGGTGGGAATACTTGGTGTTTAGGTGAAAACACATGGTGGCTGGGTGGGAACAGTTTGTGTTTAGGTGAAAACACATGGTGGCTAGGTGGGATCAGTTTGTGTTTAGGTGAAAACATATGGTGGCAGGGTGGTAACAATTTGTGTTTAGATCAGAACACATGGTGGCTGGGGGGGAACAGTTTGTGTTTAGGTGAAAAACATGGTGGCTGGGTGGTAACAATTTGTGTTCAGATCAGACCACATGGTGGCTTGGTGGATACAGTTCGTGGTTGGGTGAAAACACATGTTTGCTTGGTGGAAACAGTTTGTGTTTAGGTATAAACACATGGTGGCTGGGTGGTAACAATTTGTGTTTAGATCAGACCACATGGTGGCTTGGTGGATACAGTTCGTGGTTAGGTGAAAACACATGTTTGCTTGGTGGAAACAGTTTGTGTTTAGGTGAGAACACATGGTGGCTGGGTAGGAACAGTTTGTGTTTAGGTGAAACACATGGTGGCTGGGTGGGAACAGTTTGTGTTTAGGTGAGAACACATGGTGACTGGGTAGGAACAGTTTGTGTTTAGGTGAAAACAAATGATGGCTGGTACTGTCTTGGTGAGATCACATGAAAGCTAGGTCAGGGAATATGTGTTCGGTAGGCGATAATACATCATGATTAAATGGCTGCTGAAAACAAGATAGGCAGGTTAGTGACATTGGAGTGTTAACACATTGAAGTAATCCTGTATAATCCGTATACTTATGCAAGGTGTATTGTATTACATGTCAAACCATTTGAATTACAAAACAACATGGATTTATTAGTAAGTCTGTGATTCATCAGAAAATATCACTTTCTGAATAAATTTAATATATTGATGATATATTTGATATGTAGGTAATAACGAATGTTTGAAGTATCAGAACGACATTAGCATAACAAGTAAGAACATACAATGTATGTTTTCATAGAAGTTGTGTGCTATACATGTCCGCCAGCAAAGGTAAACCTTTCATCTTGCCTTGGAGCATTGAAGTGATTATCATGTTCCATCTTTAATAACACTCAGCTGTCGGAAGATTGAAATGTGTGATTATATTTTAAACTCCTAATGGAGTTACGATTTTCACAAAAATCATATACATGTAATGCACCTTAAATACCAATGTGTCACTGTTGTGTGGGGGCACAAAATACCCCAAAAAGTATGCACATATTACGTATACATCATGTGCACATCGTCCACACAAGGTACACAAAATTGTGGGATTCAACGATCATTCATCCAGTGTGCGCTTTTAACCCACACAAACGTGCGATTTTGTACAATTGGTTGATCAATGGACCAATGAAGAAAATCTGGAAGACTTGTATGAACTTATAAAAGGCATTGTAATATATTCAATTTCTGATCAGTATCATGGCATTATGTCCATTTTCACAATGCATGTTACACAGTATCAAAATCTCAGAGACTAAAACTGTTAAGAATGAGACCTGAGTCCCTGGTAACAGAACAGGTATACAATTAATAATTGATAATGATAATAATTTGAGGTTTTTATATACCGCTTTATCACAACCTCGTTCGTAGGTCGTCTCAAAGCAGTCCACAAATTATTATCCGTGGTTATAGGACCTTTGCAACCAGCCAATACCTGTCTCAACTCACTGGGGAGCATACAGCCGGAGCTGCCATTTAGGTGCTGACAGCTAGCATTCAACAATTCTAGCACTGCCCAACCAATATGTACTCATTTACAGCTGAGTAGACTGGAACAAGCGAAGTAAAGTATCTTAACATTAGGATGAGAGTGACTGAGTTTTGCCTGGCCTGTGTCTGACACATTGAGTTGATTGGAGATACTGTATGACTGTTAGGTAAACCCAACTGGATGTGCCTTACATATGTGTTAATCACTTTTGCCTCAGTCTGTAGCTTCTCTGTGTGAGGTCCCTGGTATTTTAACACCTTAAAGTGTTCTGTGTCACGAGAAAACTACCCAAGTTCATGAACAGGTGGCTATACTTTTTCCTGTAAATAAATGCATGTGTACAACAATGTCCGATATGTATTGTACATATGTCGATTAAGAGTGTTTAAGAAAAAAAACCTAAAAGCACCATTTCTGAAATGAATATACATGAACATTTAGATATTATTCTAACTGACATGGTAAGGACAAGACATGATTTTCATTGACAATTGTTAGGACAGGATTATCATTAACAATGGTTAGGACATGACAGGTTATCATTGACAATGGTGAGGACAGGACAGGACTATCATTGATAATGGTTAGGAAAGAACAGGTTATCATAGACAATGGTTAGGACATGACATAATTATCATTGTCAATGGTGAGGAAAGGACAGGTTATCATAGACAATGGTTAGGACATGACATAATTATCATTGTCAATGGTGAGGACAGGACAGGGTATCATTGACAATGGTTAGGACAGGACAGGATAATCATTGACACTAGTAAGGACAGGACAGGTTATCATTGACAATGGTGAGGACAGGACAGGATTATCATTGACAATGGTTAGGACAGGACAGGATTATCATTGGCAATGGTGAGGACAGGTGAGGGAAATCATTGACAATGGTGAGGACAGGACAGGTTTATCATTGGCAATGGTGAGGACAGGTGAGGGTAATCATTGACAATGGTTAGGACAGGACAGGTTATCATTGACATTGGTGAGGACAGGACATGTTATCATTGACAATGGTGAGGACAGAACAGAATTATCATTGATAATGGTTAGAACAGGACACGATTTTCATTGACATTGGTTAGGGCAGGATAGGAGTATCATTGACAATGGTGAGGACAGGTGAGGGTAATCATTGACAATGGTTAGGACAGGACAGAATTACCATTGACAATGGTGAGGACAGGACAGATTATCATTAACAATGGTTAGAACAGGACACGATTTTCATTGACATTGGTTAGGACAGGACAGAATTATCATTGACAATGGTTAGAACAGGACACGATTTTCATTGACATTGGTTAGGACAGGACAGAATTA